ACAGAGCAACAAATGGGCTGAGCGCTTTTCACTATAGGCAGAGCAACAAATGGACTGAACGCTTTTCACTACAGACAGAACATCAAATGGGCTGAGCGCTTTTCACTACAGACAGAGCAACACATGGGCTGAGCGCTTTTCACTACAGGTAGAGCAGCAAATGAGCTGAACGCTTTTCACTGCAGACAGAGCAACAAATGGGCTGAGCGCTTTTCACCACAGGCAGAGCAGCAAATGGGCTGAACGCTTTTCACTACAGGCAGAGCAGCAAATGGTCGCGTCTTTGCTACAGATTTTTTTATGAGGCTGACCAGTGAATCTTTTACTATACTAAAACATGCTACTATCCGCCAGCCAGCTCCTTAACTCTGTTATCCTTCCGCCTCTTAATTATGAATATTTACTAAAACCTGGCAGAGAATGTTTTTTCAAACCCTCTTCTTCAATTCTAAACCAAAAACTCAACAAAAATAGCCATGCAAAAGGGAAGAAAGGAGAGCGGGAGAGAGAGAGAGAGAGAGAGAGAGAGAGAGAGAGAGAGTTGTTATAAATAAACGAGATGGTGAAATTTAATGGTGGTCGGTTTTCTAGTCAGTTCAGGGGCAAGTAACTCGTCCCAATCGACCACCACTCAGTTCCTTCAGCTGGAAGGTTATGTTTTGTAGCGCAATGGCAAGGATAATGGGGTGTCCCGTGTTCGAATCCCGGCGTGGGCCGAGTACAACCATGGGATTTTTCTTCTCGATTCTGTCGCCACCCAACTATAAACCAAGAAGAGACCCATGTTCAAAAAAATATCAGTCGACGCGTTGAGGTTTACTAGTATTACGTAATGAAAGCTATAGCCCGAATTATTGTAAATTCCATCACGCGCTGTGTCTTTTAAAATCCAAACAATCGAAACGTTCTTCATTTTATATGATACTACTAGTAGTATAATGAGGATTAACGCCCATTTCACAGGCGTGGAAAATGGGACGAAGCAGGGTAGGCAAAAATAGATTCTAAAAAATCTACTTCTGGGGTACCGGTTTAGTTGTGACATATGACACAGAATTACCAAATAAAAACTGACATACAAAAATTACCACGGGGCTTCAGTACTCTCTTTAAGGACAAACGTAAAGCAGATAACTTTGCAATATACTGGATAACCTGCATTAAAGGAGTGACGTAGGAGTTATATGAAATGGATTTTAATGTGCTACTTTTTCTGTATCAATCGGAAGATCTGGTTCGATGTAACCTATGCCACAGTCTTACCAAAGAAAAACTGTATCAACCAGAATAACGAAGAAAGACGGACGTCTTACAAAGACCGGGGAACAGGGCTGAAGACGCTTTCCCTTGTCGCTGTTTCGTCAACAGTTTAATATGCGCTAACAAGAATAATTTACTTTCAGTACGCCAGCAATCCGGGTATTATTATAAATAAGTTAAATTTATTTTCTAGGTGAGGGTGATAATATTTCATTTTGTAATACAAAAATCTACTGATCGCAAATTGGAAATATGACAAGTGTATGCATTAGCGTAATATGAAATTAATCCATATGGAGTGACCTCCCTTGAATATGTACTTATTATTTTTAGAACCAGATTCAAGTACCCTACATCTAGCCTCGGCTGTATGACGAAGTCCGCCATTGGAACTACTTTCAAGTTCCCACATTACCAACGACGTTGCCTATGACGACGCCTTTGAAGAATGTTTTACCATACAAATATTTCAAAGTCTGAAGCTGTTTTTCTTTCAGGTTTATCCGATTTTCTTCAAACAAAGACACCTTTGTACTAAAAATTCTACACACGTTTCGAACGATACCATTTTGATAACTTCTTTTTAAAAGTGGCAAGTTTTCCTAATAAGTAAACCGGGGCCGTATCATAATTGGATAGGTGTAGGCACATATCACTTACCGTCATACAGCCGAGGCTAGATGTAGAGTAACGGAATCTGCCGAGGTTTGCCGAGTGTTTTAGAACCAGCACGTTGGCACCATACCAGCTCTTCACCCTCATCACCGTCGTTTAACGCCAGCTTCCGCTTCCACAGGTCCCACTATCTTGGTCTTTAATTTCTGTCTAAATTCCAAAGATCTTGGATTTTGGCACGTAACTTCAAAGACCATTTACCCTAATTGTACGAAACATTGCGTTTTTTGGCTTGTAAGCCCTCTAGATGTCACAATTTGTATTTCGATTTTAAATATCGTTTAAATATATGTACATTGCACAAAAATGTGAACATCTGACGGAAACTTCTCGCTAGAATGACCCTTTTACGCAAAGCAAGTAATACAAATACCAAGGTTGGGCGGATCCTGGATTTTCAGAAAGGGGAGGGGGGCGTGCTGCCCTCACTTGGGAGTGCGAAGCCCGGCCCTCGGTGGGTGAACTGACGGGCAATCAACCAAGTCATCAACTGACTCGTTTCGGAGTAAATTACGATTTCCAACCTAAACCGACAGTCAATTCCTTTCCCGCGAGAATATATGGGGTAAAATTATTTCGCCACTGCAAAAAAAGGGGGCGTGCGCCGTGAATGCGATAAACGTTACAGAGGAGCTGGATGGCCAAATGGTTAGCACGTGTGCGCTGTATCATAAGGCCTGTTATTGAGTCAACTGGCGTGGTTTCGAATCCCCGGTTGTACGTGACAAGGAGTAGGGTTGCCTGTCCAACCTCGTGGGTTTTCTCCGGGTCCTCCAGATTCCTCCAACTACTAAAGACCCCTACGCGCAAGCGAAGTATTGAAATAAAATTAAACCATGTTAGTCCCGATAAGACCTAGTCTGTGTCGAGTGGATGTTTAACCCCATCTCTCTCTCTCTCTCTCTCTCTCTCTCTCTAAAAGCTACAGGTTTTAAAAGATTTCTTTCAAATTCGATGTGAAGCATTGGGACAACGAGAGGTTAGTACCTACCCATTTCCCCCTTTTTCCATCCATCTCTTGCAAAATGCAATTTGGATCTCTCCAGCTTGAGGCACATATTGCGTTTCCGCCTATCTGTATTCGAATTCTATCTGATAATGATCTTTAACGTGTACGTCAATCAACGTGTGCACTCGTGGGTCTCTTTTTTTCCGTCCCATCTTTAACAAGTGAGAACTAGGCTTGACAACATCCGAATGTTCTTCACGGCGCACGCTGTGATCTGAACCTAAAGCATAATTCTAGTCAAGATGCCTATGGCTCACCACTCGACAACGTCACTGGTTGCTTTATCTTAGCTGTGGACATTATATGTCCCCCATGTAAAACTCAACTGTAACATATGGCATATTTATTTATGGTAAAAAAATATAGAACTAGTTTAGGGGACTCAGACACACCCCTCCCCTTCCCCTCAATCCAGCCCTGGCGCGACGAGTAACCAAATATCAAACAATTGTACACAAATCCCTTTGTGTACGACGACAACAACCACTCTCGTCGGGTATTTTTATTACCAACCAGAGCAGAAATTTCTACCTTGACATTTCTACCTTGACATTTCTATCTTGACTTGTGAGGGAAGGTACCTTCGGGGCTTAAAAAGGATGCTTTCGGTTGCAAGGAAAACAGAAGCGTTCCCCCCCCCCCTCGTGTGGGCATTGGCGTGGATATAAAAGAATCCTTGACAGTTGCAATATTCTTTACCTTCATATAGAGGTGAATAATACCATATCTTAGTCTCAAAATAACCAAAGTATTGTGTTGATGATACATTAACATATGTTAGTCTCAAAATAACCAAAGTATTGTGTTGATGATACATTAACCATATGTTAGTCTCAAAATAACCAAAGTATTGTGTTGATGAGATATTAACCATACGTTAGTCTCAAAATTGCCAAAGTATTGTGTTGACGGGGCATTAAACTCCATTCATTTTCACCGTGTCAGACGAGTTAGGTATAGACAGTTTAACATTATCGCTTATAGACGAGTGAAATATGTCACTTTATACATAATATTCAAATATACCACATCTGTTGAAAGTCCTTTATACCCAATACAATGGCCGGTCAGGTGTTTATAAATATTTACTTATTGTGCTTCATTTATTTTATATTATTTGGATATTTTCACCATTTTGTAAGTGAAATGAAACGTCCTACTGTTCTGCACCGACTTGGCTAATGAAGATGGGCATACGCCACACACTGTGCTATGATGAGGGAAATTTTGTCCGGACAGCGACACTACGGCTTACTCTTATATCGAATTCCATCTGTCAGGGAATTTTTTATGTGCACGCCAATGTGTACGCGGGGCCTCGGTTTTTCGTCCCATTCGAACGACTAGACAGCTGTCCTTGTCAGGCACTCCATCCTGCATCACTGACACAGGGGAACCACGCCGGAAAATCTGGATGAACTTTCTAGGCCAATGCAGGCCTTGTGTTGTACACCACTGACAAGGGGGAACCATGCCGTCAAATCCAGATGACCTTTCTCGGCCAACACCGAGATCGACCACGGGACCTCCAGGAGGTTAGCGAGTCAACGTCTTACTCATTCATTGAGGCACCGCGACTCACTGCTGTAAGACAGAATGTCTACATTTTTAATTATTGTTATTTGTCAAATGATGGCTATTTTTATAGTCGAATACTTTTGTTATGGTTTACAAACATCCAACCATATGCCTGGCAAGGGACGACATATAGTCGTTCGGATTGGACGAAAAACCGAGGCCCCGTGTACAAATTGGCGTGTAGGTAAAAGAACCTTTGACAATAGCACATGGCATGGCGTATGCCCAACATCATCAGCCCAGTCAAACCCCATATTTCAATTATTTGTCTTACAGTAAACAGATTATGATAATATTTGATAATCCAGACTAAACAAGAAATGTATCTTCAGTTATCATTCTAAACTCCGTAATACCCATAATCTATTGTATATATTAAAACTAGCATTACGTCATTGTGTATATTACGTCATCCGGGATAATCCGACTTTCTTAATAGACTGTATATGACCCCGACAAGCTGTTCGGTCTTTAGGCTATAAGTAGTCATAGCGATATGTGTAAGCGATAAACACTATACGACGAGAATAGTTTACCGATTTAATTGTTGCTGTTGATTGCGGTTTATTATTTAAATTTAAAACGTACAGGAGTATATACAACAATTTCGGTATCATTCCTAAATTCAAAACAGTTTCGGCATCTTGTCTAAATTCTAAACGTACAGGACCACCTGTAATCAACCGTTTCGACATCTTACCTGACTTTAAAACGTCCAGGAATACCTATAGATCAGCAGTTTTAAGGAAGCCACGAAGGTAAAGTTTAATTTTACATATTTAAGGTTTTGTGAATTATTCGTTGCTTGAATGAGAAGGAAATCATTGACTTTTAAAAGACATGAAAATGGGGTTTAACCTGCTACATTTTAATACTAATCAGGCTACTGAAGACGGGAATACACCGTACAGTGTGCTATGAGGGTAATTGTGATCGGAAATGAAATGAAATGAAATGGAGTTTAACGTCCTACTGTTCTGCTCCTAACCTGGGCTAATGAAGACGGGCATACGCCATACAGTGCGCTATGAGGGAAATTTTGCCCGGACAGCGGCACTACGGCCTACTCTTATATCGAATTCCAACTGCCAAGGGATCTTTTACGTGCACGCCAATGTGTACACGGGACCTCGGTTTTTCGTCCCATCCGAACGACTAGACAGCTTTCCTTGTCAGCCCCTCCGTCCTGCATCACTGACAAGGGAGAATCACGCCAATGCAGGGATCGAACACCCGACCTCCAGGCTAGCGAGCTAGCGTCTTACCCACTTAGCCACGTGATCCCCTAATTGTGATCGGACAACGGCGCTACGGACTACTCTTATTTTGAATTCTAACCGTCAAAGATCATTTTACGTGTACACCAACGTTACCCGGTATCATTCGTGCCATTTTACGTGTACACCAACGTTACCCGGGATCATTCGTGCCATTTAAACGACGAGACGCCGTTCCATAGCCGACCCTCCTTGCTGCACCACTGGGTATACCAAGCCTGTTTGATCAAAATAAATTAAAGGGTTTAATTGATTGGATTGGATGCAATATCAATTTTAATTAGTTACAACACCAGCTTTCTAGAATATTTTTTTTAAAATGCATTACGTGAGATTTAGATAAAAAGCTTGTTGTTCTTGCTATAATAGTTCAAACATGGACAATAAATACGGAATATATTGACAACTTCAAACAAATTACTTCGTTCTGGGCGTCATTGAGTCAACTGGCGTGGTTTCGATTTCTCGTTTGTACGTGACAGCAAGTAGGTTCGCCTGTCCAACCTCGTAGGTTTTCTCCAGGTCGTCTGGTTTCCTCCAACTGCTAAAGATCTCTATGTGAATTATTGAAATAAAATGGAACCATGTGTTAGGCCCGATATGACCTAGTTAGTGTCGAGTGAACGTTAAATCCCATTTATCTTTCTATCTATATCTAAGGCCGAACCAACTTAATTTATACCTTATTCGGGGCTTTATCAACGGGGGGATGAACGAATGGTTAGCACGTGCGGCTGTATCATAAGGTCTGGCATTGAGTCAACAGGCGTGGTTTCAAATCTCCGGTTGTACGTGGCAAGGAGTAGAGTCGCCTGTCCAACCTCGTGGGTTTTCTCCGGGTCCTCCGGTTTCCTCACACTGCTAAACACCCCTACGCTCAATCGAATTGTTAAAATTGAACCATGTGTTAGTCCCGAAATGACCTAGTTTGTGTCGAGTGGACGTTAAAGCCTACCCCTCTCTCTCTCTCTCTCTCTCTCTCTCTCTCGCGTTATCAATATATAAACCAACCAGTTCCTGTGTTTTGTTAAAATTTCAAATTTAAATATTTGGAGCTGAAAACTTTTGGGAAGAGCAACTGAGTACGTTTTTCAGTCACGTTTTTTTTATAAAGAATTTAGAGGCAGAATTTTTAAAAGGTATGGCCTAAACCTCTGACGTAATTGGCTTGACCCAAAACCAACTGAATAACTCAGTTTAATCCCACCATTGTTAGCCTACCGAAAGCATTTATAATATTCAGAAGGGTAATCGACTCGTGAAATAAATCATATTTAACCAAATCACGTAAACCAACCAATTCATGTTAATCCATTAATACCCATGACTAAGCTGTTACATATTAATATTGGTTTTCGTTTCCTTTTTCCGTTTTTCACGAAATATAATTCAGAATGTATTTATCTTTTGACCAGATGTATTAACAGGGTTTTGTGGACACGGAGATTTAAACCAAGGTTTCCAGCTGTATAAAGCTAAATAAACGTGTTTAACGGGGACGAAGTCAAGAGTAAAGACAAAAATGGGGTAAGTTAATGCGAGAGAGAGATAGAGGGAGAGAGAGAGAGAGAGAGAGAGAGGGAGAGTTGAACGCCCAGTCGACAGAAACTATGTCATTTCGGGACTATGACATAGCACATTGTATGTCTCATGCCCGTCTTCATTAACCCAGTCGGCGCAGGACAGTAGGACTTTTAACCCCAATTTTAGTGCACGGACTTCGCCAAGCCTTACTTCCTCTTTCATTCAAAGCAGTTTTTTTATGGACGCCGACTCCTTTCATTTTAATTTTTTCATAATTACACAAATTTTTTATTTCCACTTCAGGATCGAAGCGGCTGTGTACGCGTTATCTCAGTTGAATCTACGAAACAAAATACGTGATGACGACTTCGTTGACATCATGAATCACGTGGTCACCCCAGGAATCCTCCTATTGGCTGCTACAGCGACATATCTAACGCAATGGATGGGAGAACCTATACATTGCTGGACTCCAGCAGAATACAATGGTCATTTTCAGGATTATGTGGATAGTTTCTGTTGGATTACTGAGATGTATAATGTTCCAATGGACGAGGAGCTGCCGAAAATAGAAGAAGATAGAGACGAGAATCTGGTTGGTTTTTACAGATGGGTGTCAGTTTTACTTCTGCTTCAGGCGCTCATGTTCAAACTGCCTCATGTCCTGTGGATGTCATGGAAGGGAGTTTCAGGTATATCGACATTGATAAAATAGTTCTACTTCAACAAGATGCTGTTTTTGCCTTTTAGTACTTCACTAGCTGTTGATCCGGCGTAGCACGGGTATAACCATGATCCGGGGGTAGCTAAACTCCGAAACCGGAAGTGGTAGGCCATCACCACCAGGCCTATGTTACTCCCCGGCCCGAGTTACCCCTATACACCAAATTTCAGCCTCTGGACAGCTCTAGTGTAGCCACCAACCCTGAACAGATAGACGCACAAACAAACGACAATCACAAATATTAGTGTAGATAAAGATGTCTTCTGTGCAATTATTTGATTAATAGCTACGGGGATTAGGGGCGGGTGGGGTGAGTTCGAATTCCAGTGCGGGTGAACGAGAACGTGTTAAAGATAATGATAACGCCCGGGATCTGACAGAGGATGGGGTGTAACAATGAGTAATGTTATTGGGGAATTAAATCTTATACAAACAATTGTTATTAACTAGGTATGGATCCGGACAGAATTATCAAAATGGCTGAAGAGGGAGATATGGATGAACAGATATTATATGATGACGATGATGATGTTGAACCTATAGTTGAGGTAAGAATATGTCAGATACCGTAATAGTTGTACCTACTAACACGCTGGTCCAAATAGATTTCATATGTCAATTTGTTCTGAATCACGGGTTTCATTAAATGATTTAAACCCAGCTCGCACGTCATGCTACCTCTATGCTTCCCTGTACCAATTTTATGATGCAAGCGCATGTCAATCAAATTGGTGATTCTCAACTTCCGCAGTGTGTAGCCTCGATTATCATAAATAATATTGACGATAAGACATCCAGGGGACTACAATACGATGTGGAAATCTTTCATAGTGCACAGTGTGAAATATCCAAGGTTAACGGAACCTCCCTGCCAGCTAGCACATTCTGGATGATACTTTTGCTACCACGTGTCCATTATTAATAGTTATTATTCTATTTTAACTAGGGTGCAGGTAGCGTGGTGAAGCCTGTCCAAAAAGCACCCAAAGAACCAAAGGAGAGTAAGATCGAACCTTTAGTCCATTTTATTGACAGAAGATTGCGGTTTACAGCTCGGCGAAAAGAGGATAATCCTTGTAGCAAAGTGGACATCTTGAACAAATCCTCGGGCAGTTTCCTCACATATTTTTATCTAATCGTGAAATGTTTGTACCCCTTCATAATTATCTTACAGTTCGTACTGCTCTCCGAGTTCTTAAACATCAATTTCTTTACTTACGGTATCGATATAGCGGTTAAACAAACCGACTGGTCGTTCTGGGAAGACGAGGCGGTGTTTCCCCGGATCGCCATGTGCGACTTCAACATCCGTCAGTTACAGAATGTCCAAACGTTCACCGTTCAATGTGTGCTAGCTATGAATATGTTTATCGAGAAGATATACCTTCTTCTGTGGATCTGGATGTACTTTCTACTAGTTATAACCGTCATCGGGACCATCCAGTCTTTTCTTGACAAGATCTTATTCTCTAGACACCAGATATTTATAAAGAAATTCCTCTCCATTGGCCAGTACGTGGACCATTTCTGGCCACCGCGCAAACCGAAATATCAACCAGCGAGGGACAAAAAGTTCCAACGACCCAAAGAAATCTTCCAATATTTGTCTTCTAAGGAGAAGGATAGAATTGCCGCGTTAATTCAGCAGGATTCGTTTCAGCGCATGTTCATTGAAGATTATCTTCAAGCTGACGGCATCTTTATACTGAAGTGTATCCATAGAAACACAAGCAACATGGCCGTCATTGATATCATCTTCCGATTGTTGGAACATTTTATGGTAGAGAAGAGATTAGTACATGTTGATGACGACGATGATGATATTTATGTGTAGTATTATTAGACCTACCTTATATGGCATGTTTCCCCTTTATTATATTCATCAAAATGATAATATAAGACCCAATATGACATAATTTCACATCGAAATGAGAGGGAAAGCATTTAGTAAACTTACTCCATATTTGTAGGAGGACCACTATTAAATTTCACCATCTTCATACCGGGAAATTGTAGTTCGTCTATTTATAGCAATTATATTTGGTCTAGAATCGACGAAGAGGGGTTGAATTAACATTTTCTGCCAGGGATTGGTAAATATTCATGATTTAGAAACGCAGGGATAACAGAATTCACAGGTTGGTTACGGTGATATATAAGGCGAATATAATTACATGTTTTTAGTATGCTACTTCAATTTTGTTTGCAAAGCCGTGACCATTTGTTTCTCTGTCTGTAGTGAAAAGCATTCTGCCCAACGACAATTTGCGGAAACGTTGGAACCGGGCAAGGAGACCAGAATTAACACCGAAATCAACGGGGAAGTTAATGGTGATCTGCCTCAATTAAAGGTATAATGATGGTTGTCTCCCCTTTTACTAACAAACGCATACAATTCAATTATATTTTGTTGTTCTTTGGACCGACGCTTACTTATGTACGATCAACACGAAATTTGTTCCTTGGACAATGGCGCATCAATGTTTTGATATGACCATGGACCGTGTATAGATGGACAGACAACGTCCACGAAGCCTTTAGAATTCGGGGCCGCGGCAAAAATTAGACCGGACAATCGTGACTAAACAGTATTAAGTTTAAAAGCAAAGAAACAGAAATCAATTCATAATATTTTTATTTATCTTGCTACTCTTTTTTTTGCAACCCATACATAGATAGACTACTAACTGATGATTGGGGTGTAAATGTATCAACACATCGTCTTTGTTTACTTCGGACGCGCCCATGTGAATCCGAAAAAAAAATATCGGGTTTTCGTTAAAAATGAACCTACTAAAACACTCTTTTACTGCACAATTAATCATCATTCCGGATAGTATTATATTTGAACTTTATTTTCATAATTTTAAAATCCTGCATACATGCGGGAACTTGGAGTATTAAGCAAAACCAAAATGCTTACAAAAACTACGGAAATATTGAAATCGATCATTTCACAATTTTCAACTGCTGCATTTGGAAATTCCAAAGTTCTAAACTAGAGAAATTCGTCACTACCAGATAGGAATACTTATCGGGTTGAAAAAATTCCATGTAACTTTAAGAATAACGTATTTTCTAAGGAGGAATCCCGCAATGTCAAAAGTCACATCGCTTGATTTGCCGTTGCCATTGAGATCTCGTCGTGTCTCGCGCGAGCGGCAGAGAATTCAACAAACGGGACTCGTTGCCTGGCCATCTATATACGGTCCATGATATGACGACACGACTGCGATGACGTCATGCGCGGCGCCTGGTCCATATGGTCAGATGAATATTTCCTCAAGATCACGAGATGTAAACAGGGTAAAGGCACGTGGTTGTTGCCGAGGATTGTGGGCTAGGTTTAGGGTAAGATGTAGGGCTAGGTCTTGGGATACAGTTAGGGTTAGCGATAACTTTGTTTACATCATGTAATTATGAATTTGGCCTTGTTAAATAAATACATCTCACCTGATCCCTATAGTACGTCATTGTCAAAGAAACTATGACAAGTGAGTATCTGTTGTTCATTAGAAGATAGCACAGTTTAAATTGTTATTATATATTTTATATTCTTGTTTTTGTTAAATTTCTATTATATTATTTCCAGTAAATAAAACAAATGAAATGAAAGTGGTTTTACCCGTGTTAATAAAGATGGATATATGTAGTGCAGCATGCTGCGAGAAAAAGTTTGTCCGGATAATGGCATCGGTCCACACCCACCCAACTCTTCGTTAAAATTCCAACTGCCACAGCTTCTTTTATGTGTACACGGGTACTCGACCATTCGTCCCATTGCAAACGATTTATTTTATTAAATATTTCCAGATTGAACGTGCTAACAATGGAAATGAAATGGGGTTTAACGTCCTACTGTTCTGCCCCGACTGGGCTAATGAAGACGGCCATACGGCATACAATTATTAAGGGTGAAATCTTCTCCGGACTGCGGTGCTACGGTCTACTTGTATATCAAATTCCAACGGCCAAGGGATTTTTTTACGTGCACTTCAATGTGTACATGGGTCCTCGTTTTTTGTACAATACATTTTTCCTCACCAGTCCTTCTGTACAAGTGACAAGGGGAGAACCACGCCGGAAAATCTCGATAAACTTTCTCGGCCATTGCAAGGATCGAACACGGGACCTCCATGTTAACGAGACAAAGTTCCACTCATTGCTCCTGTTAGCAATGGAAACTAGGGACCTCAGATTTCCGTCCTATCCGAATAACTAGACACCTCTAGTTCTTACCAGTTCCTGACCACTGACAGGGACGGACCAGTCTGTTGAATTCAATATGTTCCCTTTTACACCAAATACGCTCCGTGGGTAATTTTGATTTTGACTCGAACTCCACTGGTAAACATCTATATTATGTGCATAGTGCCGACAGTTCGTCAGGAGATATCATAGGTTATGATGTTGGCTCTCCCTCTTCCTGAAATAATGACTTGTCTTTACACCCACCCCCCACCTCACCCCCCATACACACACAGTGTTAATCCACCCCTGGAAGCATGGAGCTCAAGGAGATATTATAGGCTATGATGTTTGCTTTTCCCCCTCCCCCCTCTTCACTTGGAATAATGACTTGACCCCCCCTCAAACCCCATACACACACAGTGCTAATTCGACCCCCTGAAGCATGGAGGTCTCTCTCTCTCTCTCTCCCTCTCTCTCTCTCTCTCTATCTCTCTCTCTCTCTCTCTCTCTCTTGGACGAAACCCGGGTCAGAGAGAAATGGGGTTTAACGTCCACTCGACACAAACTAGGTCATTTCAATAATTCGCTTGCGCGTAGGGGTCTTTAGCAGTGGGAGGAAACCGGAGGACCCGGAGAAAACCCACGAGGTTCGACAGGCGACCCTACTCCTTGCCACGTACAACCGGGGATTCGAAATCACGCCAGTTGACTCAATGACAGACTTTATGGTACAGCGCGCACGTGCTAACCATTCAGCCACCCAACCCCCCAGAAACCCGGGTCATCAATGCCATTACACGTATTGGATATAACCTCGAGTTTTTGTCCTACCCGAAAGACTAGACTATGTTCCTGAAACGGAGAATTCCGAGTAAGGAACGATTTGAATTAACACCGGGATTGAAATCGGGTCTGTCTGGTAAATGAGAAGGCTCCATACACACAGTACCGCCGTGACTCGTTCAGAACACCAATATCACCGATCGTTATATTTCATTAATCCAATATAACGGTATAAAGGTAATGACCCATATTATTAGGTGCTGACATGTATAGACATCTATATAATATTATATTGTTGTAGACCCTATTATATATTTTTATTCCCTATTTTATTTGTCGATCAGAACGTGTTATAACAACATTCTACACAACACTGTAAAAACAAGAAATGTTATCCAGTACGAACGTATACAAAAGGCGCAAATCTCTCGCATATTAAACATGTATAATGAAATGTAGTATGTTTTAACGTTCGAGTGTTCGTACTTACAAACTGGGCCAATGAAATGACCTGAACCCTAGACGTCTTATCCAGTAAACCAGCGCCTTCAGTACTAAACCATCGTAATTTCCCATTAAAGAAAATGAAATGAAATGGGGTTTAACGTCCTACTGTTCTGCTCCGCTGGGAAAATGAAGACGGTTAAACGCCATCCGAAAACAAGACAGCTGTCCTTGTCAGGCCCTCCGTCCTGCACCATTGACAAGGGGAAACCATGCTGAAAATTCCCTATGAACTTGATCGGCCAATGCAGGAATTGAGCCAGTGTCTATTTTAGCAACCGTGGTTCCCCATTAAAGAATGAGCTCAAGTGACATTTTACTTCCCGAACGTCTTGCATCATGATATAATATCTGTCTATGATATAGTCAGATTGGAGAGGAATGATTGAAACTAGTTTTTGCTTTCATAGCACATGGACAGTCTCTGGTAGTCATATGAGATATTTTTAATCCGCTGCAAACTGCATCAATATGCAGGTTGACAAACAGACACAAAACTAGTTGACCGACATTTTAATTCCTGCATCGAATATTTTAGTCAAAAACACTAATTTACTAAAGTATTTACTCCGCTGTGATTTAATGAAATTTGAGATGTTAATTTAGTCTTTGAGTGTATAAAAGAGGTAAAACGGATCAGAATGTAGTATATTACGTTTTGAATATGGCGGCTATCCACGGCAGAGATCCATTCTCATAGTAGATAGTCCTCTGTCTGCAGAACTTACCCAGTCATACAGTGATAACAAGCAATAAGAGACAGCGAGAAAGAGAGAGAGAGAGAGAGAGAGAGAGATGGGGTTTAACGTCCACTCGACACATATTAGGTCATTGCGGGACTCTCACATGGTTTAATTTTATTTCAATAATTCGCTTGCGCGTAGGGGTCTTTAGCAGGGGGTGGAATCCGGAGGACCCGGAGAAAACCCACGAGGTTGGACAGGCGACCCTACTCCTTGCCACGTACAACCGGGGATTCGAAACCACGCCAGTTGACTCAATGACAGACTTTATGGTACAGCGCGCACGTGCTAACCATTCAGATCCCCCCCCCCCCGGTATAATAAGACCGTGGAAGTACAACTATAGGTAGATTCCTAACGTATCCTAAAACACGTTTGGATAAAGTTAGATCTTTTTGGTAAGGCCAACTTCAAGTTTGGTCAAAGGTCACGAGATGTAAACAGGGCTAGCGTTAATACAAACCCTGACCCTAACGCTGGACCTAACCCCAATGCCTACCCTAACCCTAACCTACAACCAGTAAATTAGATTAAATAAGACCAGTCTTCACCCTAACAAACCATATATCAAATCCTAGCCCTAACCATTATTAAATAAAATCAACTAGATATAAGAATCCCTAGCCCTAACCCGGTGACAGTGGAACAAACAGATTGAAGAAAATCCAATTCTTCGTAGGAAACACACTAATGTGGCTCTCTCCCGAGAGCCTCAAATTTATTCTTTTTTTCTTCAGAAACAAAAATACCAGAATACCAAAGGCACCATCCAAGGAAGACCATCAGCGCCACCAACATAAAAAAAACAGTGAACCCACCTTTGTATATAAATCTAATGTATTATATGTATTTTTAATTAATTAAACTAGGAAATATCACGAACTAATTTTTCATCATCCTAGGTCAGTGCTTATGTGGAGACGTAACCTCTCCCCGAAATTCTTAAACATAACCTACGACCTCGCCAACAATCACGTGCATTAGCCTTATAATATACATCTCAGCGACCTTGACGGAAATTGAGCTGGCCTTAACAAATAGATTTGGCCTTGCACATTGGACTTTCCCATCACCCATTTCAACTCCTTATCCAATCGCGTTTTAGGATACGTTTATTGATCTACCTATATTTGTACTTGCACGGTTATTATACCGTAGTGACCGAATTAACACACACATTTTTATTGTGTATTACGGATAAATTAATATGATATACAATGCGTATAAGACGCTTGAACAGGTAGCCCATTGAATAGCCGAAATAACTATAGGATAATGTATACTGAATAGATGATCCTCTATTGAAATAACTACGATTGCCTATTGAAAAAGAATACTATTCACAAACAATCACTACACAATTCATGAATTGATTCACCTCGAACCACATCGTATGTTTTTTTCTTAAAAAGTTATAATATGCGTTATAGATAACGCGTGGAACCCAATCTGTTATGACGTGATTCTTTAAGGATATACGGCGTTTGTCGAGATTCTTGTAGGTCTAATATATAATAATTTAAAAACAGGTAAGATTGTTTTTATTATATACCGTTCTATTCTAGACATAATATTATATTAAAGATACATTATGTGAAATTAAATGAAATGGGGTTTAACGTCCTACTGTTCTACTCCGAACTGGGCTAATGAAAACGGGCATACGCCATACAGTGTGCTATATAGCCTACTCTTATATCGAATTCCAACTGTCAATGGATCTTTTACGTGCACGCCAATGTGTACAGGCCAATGTGTACACCCCCGATACATTATGTACAATTTAGATAAAGAGCTGACCATTCTTGCTATAATAGCTCAAAAATAGAAAATGTAAAATAAAAATATTGAAAATTTCATTCAAATTACTTTATTCTGAGCCAAGTTATCACTATTTGTAGTTTTGACAAGACGTGTGCATAGTGGTAAGCAGGGCACTGGTATATTCGAGATTTAGCCTCGATTTCCCACTTTTGAATTAAATTTTTGAAATGGTGAGCCGTACTAATCTAGAGTATCCTATGCCATCTAGAGTTGATTATGGTCTGGATAAGTTAATTAATGTCTAATTAATAATTTAGATACCATTAAAGGCCTAAAGAAAGACCTGCAATAGGCGGATTTAGCTCTTGCATAATGTATGTTTAATTAGAAAAATTAATGCGTTGTCAATATTCGTCATGTCTACCACACTGTTCTTAGTTAGGGACGCGTGGAAGCCACGGTGGCTCAGTGAGTAAGACCGTGACTCGCTAAACTGAGGGACCCGTTTTCGATTCCTGCCTTGGCCGAGAAAGTTCTTCGGGGTTTTCCGGCGAGGTTCCGCCCAGTCTATGGTGCAGGAACAACTGATAGTCGTTCGGATGGGGGGAAAACCGAAGTCCCTGTAGCCATTGGCGGTGCACATAAAAGAACCCTTGGGTGGGAATTCGATATAGGAATAGGCCGTAGCGCTGCGGTCCGGGCAAAGTATCCCTCATAGCGTATTGTATGCAGAGGCGTAGCCGTGAAATATATATTGGTGGGGGGGGTCCCAACCCTAACCCCTAACCTACATGCGATTCACTCTGATAAGTGGCAGAAAAAAAAATAACTAGATACAATTTTATGGGCCCCCCCCCCCCATGTGTGACGCCCATGATTGTATGACGTATACCCAGTCGGAGCAGAACAGTAGGACGTCAACCCCATTCCATTTCATTTATTTGGGAACACAGTGAGAATAGGGGTTAACAAAAAATATCTTCGGGATTTTTCCGGTCCAGCTTCTAATGCCAGGGACTTCTAATGAGCATTGTGAACATACAGATAGGTAAAATATTATTCAACATTCTGTACATATAGATAGACAGTAATATATTAAACATACATTATGCAAGAGCTAAATCTGCCCATTGCAGATCTTTCTTTAGGCCTGAAATGTTGATGTCATCGCTAGGCTGCGATATTTTCTGGATTAGAATCCTATTTTCTGCTTAGCGCTCATTGATAATTAAATCAAAAACTGGATAATCGAAACTATTATCTAATCTCCCATAATGTATCTTTAATTAGTAACATTTGGGGTGATCATATAATATCTTCAGGAATTTTCAAGCCCGGTTTAGGGACTGGCCTGTTGGACAAAGACACTGTGTTTAGTCCTTCATATTGGTAGTGTACATAAAAGATCTCTTGACAGTTGGGTGGAATTCTCCGCTTGCCATGCAGCAATATAAGAGATTTATATATTCTTAACCCAGTGTTTCCTTTATTCTTAACTCAATCTGATTAAAATACAAATCTATATTTCGTTTCGTTTTTTTATATACTTTCGATGGCCTACACTACAAGTAGGAAAGACAAGTAAAACGAAATTCTGAACTATAAAAAACGAAACGAAATAGGATCTGTGTTTTAATGAGATTGGTGTTTACTGTATTATTGGAATATATTTTCATGTTTATATCCACCCGTTCCAATATTATGTCCACATGATGGAGGTCATAAATTTACCGTACGGTAAAAACGGGATGCCGTTTACCCGCTTCTAGGCCGATTTATATTTCGTTGTTATTATCCGCTTCTAGGTGGTAATAATATTGGAACGGGTGTTATATCCGAATTAAGGGACCCTGAAAACGTATATTTCAGTATATTGAACGCATAGTTTAGAATTTGAGGGGGGGATACCCAAGCTCATTGGGTTCAGCGGGTCAAATTCTTATAAAAAACACCTTCAAATCGAGGTCCCCGTGAATTTGTCACCAATGTTACCCAAATAAATTTCCCCAAGGATGGCATTATCCGGATTCTGAATCTACACATAGTGTAGATAACAAACCTCATCTTTCAACCCTCCGTGTTTCCAGATAAGAGATGGTCCTATATAATTGAACGCAGCAAAGCCCAACGCGAATCGCATCGGATATCAGTAAGCAAAATTGACAATATTTTTCATCAAAACAACGATTGATTATTGTTATTTATAATATTTCTGCCACATCCAACTACAATTAAGCATTATAATCCTACTTGAAACTGGTATAAATCATCGTATTTAACATCGAGGCGTGAAGCCGTTACTAGGAACGCCAGTTTTAAACGGGAGATGTATGACGATGTATGTCGGATAAAAACAACGCTTCTTTAATTTAAACGCGAATATTTGGAGTTAGGCGATAGTTGTGCCACTACATTGGCCTCTGTAAGTTTAATTAGTCATAATAGTATAAAATTACCTTATTTTTAAGATGTTACATGCATTAATAAAGAAATTGAGTTTGCCACTTGGAACTAAAGCCACAGAATCGTAGCTAAAAACAAGCACATCAGTATATTTCAACGTTTTTAGCTACGTTCTCGTAGCTACACATATTGAAGATATATAATCCATCAAAACACCTTAGTTGGTCAATAATACCAGGTTTGTCGACCTACTCGAGCTGTTACAGACAGTTCCCCGACCTTTGAAACCAGGGTAAATTGCATCCTTAAACAGAGCTGTTATATCAGGCTATATTCTCGCTGTTTTTTTCCTTACAGAATGACGTCATGAAATAAACACCCACAAACCTAAAGCAGCAACAAGAATCCTAAACAGAAATAAAAATGTCGTAAGTTAATGTTTGTCTTACAATGAATTAAAAGCCGTTGTCGTGGTAACTGGAATCCCAAATAGAATGACCCGGGTATAAATCCCGACGTCGACTGAGCAGACCCGTAGTATTTGTCAGCGGTGACGTCAGCAAGACTGACAAGGAGGGCGTGTCTCATGATACAATGCCTTGTGAACAATGGGTTGCACGTAAAAGAACCCCTGGTAGATGAAAATGGAAGAATAGTAACCAAAAAGGACGTTGTCCGGGAAGACTTTGATTATAAGAAAGGCTTTTCGTTTCTTACAGCCCTCTTGAATGATCAATTTATAGGGAAGGGTTGGGTCATAGCTGCCCAGAAAATATTTCTGGATCACCTGATACTGCATTGCTATGGAAACGACAATCACTTCGAATACATTTTATTCTCTTTGTCAAGGGAGCCACGAAGGCTCAGTGAGTACGACGTTGGCTCAAGACAAAAGAAATGGCAAAGGCAAACGTATAGTCGTTCGGATCGGATGAAGAACTGATGTCGTGTGTATACATTGGCGTGCACTTAAAATACCCCTTGCATTAAGTTCGATATAATAGTAGGCCGTAGCGTTGCTGTCCAGGAGTATGCCCGTCTGCATGATTCCAGTCGGAGCAGAACAATAGGACGCATAGGCGTACGAGCCAGGGGGGTAGCAAAATAAAGTGTTCGAAATAAAACACTAATTTTACTTTTCTTTTAATTGAATTTGAATACCACGTTTTTGTATTGAAATGACTATGGATTAAAACATTTTGTCTGGGGCCACTCTACTTTGTGTGACATTTTTCGGGCATTGATTATTATTTGTGAATGCTGTTGCAACAGCCTAGCGTGGGATTTCGGTCCGACTTTTGGAGTTGCTTAACACACGGGCTAGAGAAGCAGAAAAACGTATTTGCGGTAGTTTAATTTTTAGAATTATCTCCGGGAAGGCGAGGCTCCCATACCCCGAGACGATTGGTTGTTTGGGATTCAGGTCAGCCACCAAAGGTAGGCTATATTGGAGTTGGACCGAGTTGAAGTTCCTGTATGCAAGGGCTGAAATAGCGTTTGCGGCAGTTAAATTTTCAAAATAGTCTCCATGGACTGAAGACGATTGCTTTATTCTGTATTCAGGGCTGGAGTAGCAGGAAAACGCGTTTGCAGCCGTCAAATTCTCCAAAATTTTGTAGTGGGTGGGTGGGGGGCTACACGGTAAGCTCGGTTCCTCTGCTCTCGCAGAAGACCGGCATCTGTAACCCGAAATTTCCCCCCCCCCCAACTCTCATCGAGCCCGTTCGCCTACGGTAGGACGTTAACCCCCCGTTTTATTTTATTCTCTTTATCTAATTCTAGGATCGAAGCAGCAGTCATAGCTTTAGCTCAGTTCGATTTTGGGGGCAAAATACGTGATGACGATTATATTGACGTCATGAATCACCTGGTTACACCTGGACTTCTGCTATTGGCGGCCACAGCGACGTATCTGAAACAGCTGCTGGGAGATCCGATTCATTGCTGGGTACCTGCCGAGTATAAAGACAGAGACAATTTTTTGAATTATATCGAGGGTTACTGTTGGATCACCCCGATGTATAATGTGCCTATGGAGAGAGAGATACCACAACTAGAGGAGGAGAGAAATGACTATACTATGGGTTTTTATAGATGGGTTTCCGTCTGTTTACTCCTGCAAGCCCTCTCCTTTAAACTACCTCACGTTCTTTGGAAAACATGGAAAGGGTTTTCAGGCAAGTCCTTTCTTTTAGATTTTGATGGTTAGTGAGGAAAGAAATGATATGAGGGTTAAACTTCAAACGCCGTGTTCTATGGGTGATATTTACATTTTGCCCAGACAGCGGCACTACGACCTGCTCTTATTAGCGGCATTACAGTTTCTGGCTGTCGATGGGATCTCCTACGTGCAGTGAGTAGCATAAACGAGACTTTTTTTTCGTCCAAACAGAACGCTTATGTTTGCACTCTTCAAGCCCTTCCTCCTGCTCCTCTTAAAAGGCATGGGGGATGTGGGTGGAGGGGTTGGGGGTGAGCAGACTGGAATACCAACAATTTTCGATCAACACCACTTGCGAGAAAATGAAATTGTTAATTGTTTTGATGGGCAATCCTTTTGGGGATATTTTTCTCTTAAAGTCCTTCATCCTGCTCCGCTTTTAAGGAAAGGGGATTTGGGTGGATATCCATTTGGGGACATTTTTTGCTCTGGGACAAACTACATATTTTAGTGTGGGTATATTGTCCTTCAGTTTAAAACGTGCCGATCAACCTAGGTGGTTGATTTTGCACAAACGACTCCACCAATCCAATCAACCTAAGTGGTTTGATTTTGCTGATCAGTCCGATCAACCTACATCGCATGGTCTTGATTTTTTACTCAAAATGTTTTCTTTGTTTGTCCTCTTAAAGGTATGGATCCGGATAGAATTATCAAAATGGCGGCCGACGGAGACATGGAAGAACAGGAAGAAGATGAAGATGGCGGAAGGAATAAAGAAATGAGGGTAAATTCACGGTTTGATCGTCCTACAAGGGCGTTTCATTGGTCAATAGCGCACGAAGTATTGCAAAAAATGGCAGACAAGATATGGTCATTCTACAGATCATATCCAAAATTTAAATAATTACAAATTGACAAAATTATGGATAAGTGGGATTGACTAAAACAATAGCTCTTGTCGGCGATTAGCAAGAACTTTTTGTCACATTTTTAATCACCCATAATTTTGGCAATCACCGACAAGAGCTTTTGTTTTCTCTCCTTCCATTGACATATTTTTGTTTCTTGATTTACAGTCAGTTTTCATACCACGTGAATGTACAGTTGTCTGTATTAACTTGAGACATACCACCACTTCCCAAAGAACTGGGAAATGACGTGTTATGTTTTTTAATTGAAAAAATTGACGCAGCGCGTGTTTACGGTCTATATTTCAGGAAGGTGATGCAGATGGCGCTAATAATGAGCGGAAAGCTAAGGAGAAGGAGAAAAAGAAAACGGGAAATAAAAAGATTGGACCCCTGGCGGCTTTTATTGACCGGCGTTTGATAACCACCTTCCGTAGAAAAAAACGCGGAGGAATTTGTGCCAAGCTCAACATCTTCAGTAAATCGTCGGGGTATTTTCTAACCGTATTCTTCTTAATAGTTAAACTTCTGTACGCTGTGGTTATCGTGGCGCAGTTCCTCGTCCTTTCCAAATTCTTAAACATTAACTTCTTTCAATATGGCGTTACGGCGGCCATTAAGCAGACGGACTGGACCAGGTGGGAAGATGATGAGGTGTTTCCACGTATCGCTTTGTGTGATTTTCACATCCGACAACTACAGAACATTCAAACGTTCACTGTCCAGTGCGTGCTGTCTGTAAATATGTTCATTGAGAAGATATTCATGATTCAGTGGGCGTGGTTCTTGTTTATGTTGCTGTTGACGGCTGTTGGAATATTCAGGTCGTTCGTTGATAAACTCTCTCGCTATCGACGCATCCTTTTTATAAAGAAGCATTTAACAATCGGACAAGATGTTGCTGAGTTCTGGCCTCCACCGAGGGCCTTCACTCCATCCACGTCTCTTGATAAAAACCGATCCCCCAGGGATATTTTCAGGAATCTATCTGATAAACAGAGGAGTCACGTGACGCGATTGATCGGGAACGAATCCTTCCAGAGAAAGTTCGTCCGCGAATATCTACAAGCAGACGGTGTATTTATATTAAAGTGTATCCATAACAACACGAGCAACATGGTGCTTATGGATATTCTGTTCCGGTTAGTCGAACATTACATGGTGGAACAAGAACTTGTTCGCGAGCAAGATGGCGACGGTGATGACTATTTAAGGCTTGGAAGCGCGACCTTGTAGCAAAGTTACAACACGTAACATTTGTGTTTTGAAGCGGTATGAAATGAGAAGGAAGTTTAAATGGGTTAAAGACATATTTCCTCTGGTAATGAAGGGGACGAGGGCATAGATTTACCAAAAAAATGGGGTGCCATAGATTTACCGAAAACAGCTTCAATGATCCAAAAAAAGACCTTTATTGTGTTTAAAACTGCAGTTTTTCATATTTTTGGTGTTTATTTTTTTATGTAGGAATCTTTTGTGGTTATAAAGATTCAGACCATCGGAATCATCAATCTTTACACCATGAAATGTCATGGATTTAATATTGAGAGAATATTTAATCTGACTTCATAATCACTAGGATGATAATAAGAGTTGTCTTTCTTACTTTTATCTCCCATTTACTACCGTGTTTATTTATTAGACCTATTACAAAAGAGTAAAGTTCATGGCAATATTAATCATTTATAGACCCTAAAGTTTACTAAATGTCATTGTGCTTAATAACGATAAGAGAATCTTTATCGAAACGTCGTGTTTGTGTAATAAACCAGTGATTGTTGTCCCATACATCTGTGTCAGTTTTCTTATGTTTCCAATTGCTAAATGCCACTAAAGGATTAATATTAATCATCTATGCAAGAAAAATCCCCATCAAAATGTTTTAAGCAAATATTTATAGTTTAGTTTTCTTTATTAACGCTAGTCACAACATGAACCGAAAAGCATAGGGTCCCTAATGGGCCCCGGGCAGGTTCCCACCGTTCCCAGCGTTAAGATGGCTCTGAGTGCAAGCCCATCCCGGCAATATTGGCCAGCTCTGCGAATCGGCTATGTGCATTGATTTGTTGAAAGGAAGGACGGATGATTAAAATGATTAGTTTTGTGTAATGTTCTGTTGCGCAACATTTCTGTCATTCTGGTTAGCCACGGGGGCTCAGTGCGGAAAACGTTGGATCGCTAACCTGAGGTCCCGTGTTCGATCCCTGTGTTGGCCGAGAAAGTTCATCAGGATTTCCCCCGGCGTGGTTCCCCCTTGTCAGTGGTGCAGGACAGGGGATGTGGCAAGGGACGCCGTATAGTCGTTCAGATAGGACGAAAACCCGAGGTCATTGGCGTGCAAGTAAAAGATCCCTTAACAGTTGAAATTCGATATAAGAGTAGGCCGTAGTGCCGCTATCCGAGAAAAATTTCCCCCATAGCACACTGCATGGCGTATGTCCGTTTTTATTAGCCCCATGCAGTCGGAGTATTCTGACCATTCTGAAAAGTAAGCACAAAGTCATGCTTCACCTTTTCTTACGTAAGAAACTGTATAAAATACCGTCCCTAGAAAATTCTCAAGAACATTAAGCACACTGTGACTGGTAAACTGAGACTACGATGCTCTGTAACGTCATAAAAGAGAGAGAGAGAGAGAGAGAAATGGGGTTTAACGTCCATTTCGGGACTAACATATGGTTTAATTTTATTTCAATAATTCGCTTGCGCGTAGGGGTCTTCAGCAGTGGGAGGAAACCGGAGGACCCGTGGAAAACCCACGAGGTTGGACAGGCAACCCTACTCCTTGTCACGTACAACCGGGGATTCGAAACCACGCCAGTTGACTCAATGACAGGCCTTGTGATACAGCGCGCACGTGCTAACCATTCGGCCATCCAACCCCCCCACGTCATAAAAACAAATGAAATGAAATGAAATGAAATGAAATGGGGTTTAACGTCCTACTGCTCTGCTCCTATGCTGGGCTAATGAAGACGGGCATACCCCATACAGTGTGCTATGAGGGAAATTTTGCCCTGGCAGCGGCACTAGCGCCTACTCTTATATCGAATTCCAACTGCAAAGGGATCTTTTACGTGGATTCCAATGTATACACGGGACCCTCGGTTTTTTGTGTCATCCGAAGGACTAGACAGCAGTTCTTGTCAGGCCCTCCGTTCTGCATCACTGACAAGGGGGAACCACGCTGGAAAATCTGGATGAACTTTCTCGGCCAATGCAGGGATCGAACACCCGACCTCCAGGCTAGCACGCATGCGTCTTATCTACTTAGCCACGTGATCCCCCGTCATAACAATTTTGGTATGCGAATTACGTCATAAATTGGTCGGCTGCTTCCTGGCAAATGGTCGATTTAGATGCATTTGACATGACCACTACACACACATAAAATGTGCCATAAGCTAAAAAAACAACAAAAACGCAAGCACATGCAAACAGACCGAATAATTGTGAGAGTGCGTGATCTTAAAGTAACCAGTGTGTTTGTGTTTGGTAAATAAATAAAATGGTTTCACGGTAGGTTATGTTTCCTGGGAAACATCCGCTTCCATACTACGGTGGTATCATAGACATGTTATGTTTCCTGGGAGAATTGCCTATTTCCTGTTTGGGGGTTGGGATTGTCTTCTTTTCTTTTGTTTATGATTGGATTGGGTTTTATTCTTATATATAAAGACGACGTGGGTGAACAGACCAAATACATGGTGGTTAGAATCAGTAAAATGATATGACATATTATTTAACTGATATCTTATTTTATTATTCAAATAGTATCACATGACAATAAAGTATACAATCACGTATATAGATTACATACGATGTAAGTCAACAAACCCAATACATGGTGATAAGCAAACAATCAATTGATATATGATCTAATCACGTGAGCCTTGGAAATTAGAACATACCGTTGACACACCTACCAGAATATATCATATTTGAACTGGTTCTTAGTTTAATCAACGGATATTTTCTACAATTGATTTATTATAATGGTAATTATTTATTATTCTGATTTCCTGAGATTTTAAGATGGCGTCTAAATATACCTGTTCTATTTGTTTAAATAACTTTACCAAACCCAAGCTACTGCCATGTTCTCATAAGTTTAATAAACAATGTATTGGTGACTACGTCAAGGCTCACGCTCGCTTGAATAAGTTTAACTGTCCTGTCTGTAGACAAGAAACAGCGGTACCAAAAGGTGGTGCCAGCCAGTTTGTCAATAACTTTTATCTAGAAGACGACGGTGATGATAAACAATATTGTACAAAACACAAGAAGAAAGAAATAGAAGTTTATTGTCGAGATTGTCGCAAACCATGTTGTTCTGTTTGTGTTATGGTGGATCATACAGGGCATGTATTGGTGGATATAGATGACGTAGATAAGGAGATGAGAGAAATTGTCATGAAACTAAAAACTGAATCCGAAAAGAAGATAAAACAGTTACAGAAACATTCTGACTTTCTAAAGACCAAAATATCTGACATGAACAACTCGTGTAAGACAGCTTGTGATCAAGTTCAGAAACAAATAGACAATATTTGTGAAAAAGCTAGGAAGATGGGAGGAACAATTAAAGATGACATCAATAAAATTGGTGAAGATGAAAACAATATACTAACCAAACTAGTAGAAGAAGATGACAAGATGACATCTAAAATGAAAGAATGGTGTGAATATGCTGATCGTATATTACAACATAAATCTATAAAATTACAGCTGTAGATAAAGATGGATTAACAGATGTTCAAACCAAAACAGATTACAACATATCAACAAATTTACATGAACCTGTAGTCAGACATCCATATTATTCTATGGTAGGGGTTGATGTAGACTGTTTAAAACAACTACTGGGTGAAGTACAAGTACAAACACCAACATTTACCAGTAGTTTTAGTTTGAATCAGGTGAAGCTAGATGAGAACTACAATAGTGATGTAATAATACAAGGATTATCATGGAGTGTATGTGTTTGTCATATATTATCAACATTATATATTAACCTGAGATCGACAAAGGTAGAAGATAAAACTATTGAAACTGTTACAACTAGTTGTACATTAAAACTGTTAAATATCAATGATGAGAGTAAATCACTATTTGAACAAGGTACGGGTTATATGTATTGTGTAATTATAGACTGGAATAAACTACAGAATGTTAAGAATGGTTTTATTGATGACGACAAGATATTTACTGTAGAAGCTATTGTACATATAACTGATATAGAACGATATTGAAGACCAAGTCATATAATAAACAATAACAGTTATATAAAAAAAACATTAGTCTATAGTATTACGTCATAAACAATAATAGGATAACCTAAAGAATGTGAACAATCATAATTTGTTGCTGTATATGGAAGCCTATTGCGGCCATTTCAGAATCTCGTCCCCTCGCCGCGAGAAGTCGAGGGCGAGAAGACGAGAAGACGAGAAGTCGAGGGCGAGGGAGCGAGAACGCGAGAACGCGAGGGAGCGAGAAGTCGAGGGCGAGGGAGCGAGAGAGCGAGAACGCGAGGAAAAAGGGCGAGAATACGAGGATCTCGCCTCGAGAACACGAGATTACTTTCACCTCGACTTCTCGTCTTCTCGTCCCTCGACTTCTCGCTCCCTCGTGTTCTCGCCTTTGAAAAACCTCGTGTTCTCGCTCCCTCGCCCTCGACTTCTCGCTCCCTCGCCCTCGACTTCTCGCTCCCTCGCGTTCTCGCCCTCGACTTCTCGCCCTCGACTTCTCGCTCCCTCGTGTTCTCGCCTTTGAAAAACCTCGACTTCTCGCTCCCTCGCTCCCTCGCCTTTGGGTCAATCTCGTCCTCTCGTGTTCTCGCTCCCTCGCTTCGTCACTATCCCGTCTTCTCGTGTTCTCGCCTCGGAAGTGCAAGTATTAATTTTCGTGCGCAACAAAAAATCTTTCAACAATATCTATCAAAATGCAAATTTCATTTGATCAATTTCGGCATATGAAATTTACGTTTGTCCAGATTTTTGAATAACTATTTGTTACACACGAAATTAACTAATTATAGGATAAAAAAATTTGAAAAAAAGGAAAGTTTTGAGAGTAATTATTAAACAATGCACACGTAGGCCTACATTTTTGTCACTGGTTATAAAGTCGCAAAACTTGTATTTTAATTGTTTAATCTCATTTTTATATTAATCATGTTTTACATTTTAGTCAAAACGTGTGTTTTTGAGCCACGAGCAGACATTTGATTTTCCTATCTATGCTTATTATTATTACAGGTGATGAGCTCATTCGTGAATTTTTGGCGGATACACCAATATTGAAGTCTCTATATTATTATTTCTAAGACACACTATATCAATAAGGTAGGCCTTTCTTGGTGTGATTGTGTGGTATGGTGTGTGTGGTATGGTGTGTGTCATTGATTTTATGGAAATTTATAATGAATATTGAATCACAAAAGCAAAGAAATATGTTCTTCTAGAAAATGACTAAAAAACATTTATTTTCGTTTGTTTATTATTAATTCAGTGAAAGGCAAATAAGAAGAATTCTTAAAAAATATGGTCATAGGCGAAGAGGTGGAAATGACGAAGAGTCTATAACAGCTGCTATAAGAGTAGGTGTGAAGCCTACGTAATAGGCTAAATTTTTCCCTCCGAAACCTTACATATCTTGTGAAGAAATGACCCCGGTTTACAGAAAGTGGGAATAACGAGAATCAACAGCAATATCCCACACCCCACGGTACAGTCTGTAGTTACTGTTATATAATCACTAGGGTCGTATTAAGGGTAGG